GGTTCAACCCAGCTCCGGTTCTTAAAAGTTCGGGTCTAACTTAGCGATTTAACATACAATATAGATAAATCTTGAAAACAAATTACCAAAAGTATTCATTATTCCCTTTTATTAAATTTTATCTGGACTAGCTTCAGACCTGCCCTAAAAAGCTCGGTCCCAGACCCAGTTCGAACAAACCCTTTGTGGGCTATTTAACATCCTATTCAGAAAGTCAGCCTATAAATTCGAAATAATGCCCATGGGCGTACTCGAAATAGTGCGCAGCTTCGAGATTTTACGATACTGTATTTATTAACTATATAATAAAATATAATATGCCAGTTTCAGGTCATTCAGATCGACCCGTTCGATGGACTAAATGCTACGGTAGACAATGAATTTTGAAATGATATAATTACATTTGAAATTGGAGAGTTGATAGATTTATGTGTAGGTGTTAAAAGTCTACAATATTACGGCAAAAGAAATAGCTTAAAAACAAAACTATTGAATCAAGTTTTATACTATATAGTCTAAAAATTGGATGACAATATAAAAAGAAATTGAAACATCTTTCAAGTGCATGGATGAGTGAAATAAAACCGTTTTTTTCTACTAATAATAGATAGCTTTTGATTAATGTTGAAATTTTTGTGAAATAGAAATTTTTATGACAATCTAGAACTATCTGACTATCTGATATAATTCCTAAAACTACAGTTGATGCAATTTACACATTCCACCAAAAATGATTTAATTCAGTAGTTGCACTTCCCGAAGACAAATCAATTTATAATAAACCTTAATTAAGAAAATATTTGTTTGTAATAGAAAGAGCCCTGAAAATCAACATAAGACTTTGTAAGATTTCGGGTAGTTAATATTTTATCCTGTTACTCTTTAACCAATTTAATAAATTTCGGTGTGAAAATCGAATGGCGTGGAGACAATAAATTTTGATGATTTCAAAATCATATTTTTTTTTGGACACTTTCTAGTTACAAAGACCCTCATAGTATATATCGTTTTTTAATTGTATCTACATCAACTTTTTCATACATATGTCTTTATAGAAAAGATTTCAAAGAGTGCAGATCACCATTTTATAAAATTCTTTTGTCTTCTTTTTTTATTAATGATTTTGGTAGTATAATGATTCTATATAAATGAGTTTCTTTGTTTAAATAAAATCAGGTGTGGTTTATATGAATGCAGAAAAAATAAATTTCATTGTTGTTGATTAAATAAAATTAGGTGTAGTCTTTATGAATGCAAACAAAATAAATTTCATTATTATTTATTGGGATCGAGTATATATGCTTTCAATTTTATAAAATTCTTTTGTCTTCTTTTTTTTATTAATGATTTTGGTGGTTATGCTACGTAGTATAATGATTCTATATAAATGGGTTTCTTTGTTTAAATAAAATCAGGTGTGATCTATATGAATGCAGAAAAAATAAATTTCATTGTTGTTGATTGAGAAATGGGATTCTTTTAAACAAAATCAGGTGTAGTTTTTATGAATGCAGACAATTTCATTGTTGTTGATTGGGATCGAGTATATATGCTTTCAATTACGTATTATACAGAATTTCAGCTGATTAGCATTTAGGCGGTACTCATTACGATAGATCAATACAAAGAAAAAAGATTCACTATTTCGCAAGAATTCGTATTTATGAATATATTTTTTGTTATATACGTGCATGCGTGGAGGATTCTTATTGGATTTCTATTTAAAAAAAATAAAAATTTTGGATTCCCACTCTGTTGACCCGACCAGGATATGAAAACTGATAAGTTTGTATGGCTATGACACAAAAACGTTTTTTTACAAATAAAGATTATCCGATTTCTACGTATTTTAAATTAAAAATTTAAAGGTGCGTATGTAGAATTTGCATAAGAATCAATTGGCTTAATAAAGATTATCCGATTTCTACATACGTATTAAAATTAAAATTTTAAAGGGTTGTAGAATTTGTATAAGAATCAATTGGCTTAATAAGAAAAATTCAGTTTTAACGTGTTACACTTTATTATAATTTTTATTTATTTATGATGTAACCTTTGCTGATCATGAGATAAATTTAAAATTTTCCGTTAGCATCACGATCCAGAGATCAGAATCGCGTGATTTCACAATTATTCGGTTCGTCTCATTAAGTTATAATAAATTGGTTTATATAGTTACAAATTAATAATTTATTTTTTTATTATTAACTTTTATGTATGTCTTTCTGTATTACGTCTAAGTAAACCCAACTTAACCGTTGTAACCTACTAAAAACTGGAACCGTTTAACCGCTTACAGTAAAAATCGGTTCATAATTTCGAGCAGAGTTATGACAAGGCATAATTATTTTTAATGCTATATATATAGATAGGAATGAAATTACCCTTCTTAATAAAAAGTTTTTGTTAAAAGTGTTGAAATTATTTTTTGGTGAAATTGAAAATTACTTTAAATTATACCAAAAATTAATTTAAATCAAATAAAATAGTTATATATTTGATATTTAATTTATAAAAATGAAATTATTGTTGAAATTATTATTGAAATTATTATAATGAATTTCACCTCATCTATAGCTATATTAGGGGTGAATTAAACAGTTAACGTCTATATCGATACGTATAATATGAACTAATTAGTACTTTGTACCTTAATCATAGTACAAAAGAGATTTACTACGTATAATATAATAGAGAATCTCGACCAACTACAGTATACTTACAATATGGTAGAGGATCTTTTTCTTAACCATTTATGGGTTCTAAATGTAATAAATGTATTATTTCGGTAATTAAAAAGTTCATGAGATCTCTTTAACGTTAATATGTCTTTGATCATACATTATATACCTCAAAATCAAAATTTCTAGCTAATAATGTTATGATAATGTTAACGTGAACATTTAGTACTGTAGGGTAATTCATGTTAGCAATTAATAAAGGAAAACATTTACATTTCACTCATGGACCTTATGACATCATATATATATAAATCCGATAGAAATAAAGTGGATCAACCGGATATCGACATTTTACACCAGAATCACGATTGTCGGGAATATACCTATTAAGTATAAATATTAAACTTGAATTAAACCAAAAGGGTTTTTTTTATTACACAGCATCTGATAATTATCATGTGACATATATCACTATGAGCACTATGATAACTTTAAAGCCTGATTTCCATTATTTACGCATTTTCACGTTCGTGATTATTATGTATTAAAAAAAAATAACTAGCTAAAATCAAGTAATAGGCTAAGTCAAAAAATCCATGACTTGTAGAATTACCTGTTTGTATCATTTAACTATTTCAACCATTCAACCATTTAACTTTAACCTATTCAACCATTCTCCATTTAATTTTAACCATTTAACGCGTTCTAATTAAAAACTAGACATATAGGTTATACGCCAATTGTACGTAAATATATTATTATTATTTTTTAATTTTTTAAATTATTTATTTATTTTTTTTTTTACAAAAATTACAAATACATAATTATAGTTATAATGCGTCTATATATATATATATTATAGATATATATGTAAATATATGAATAAAAGAAAGTATATTCTATATACCGATATAGGGGAATAATGTTAAACTATATGGTTGATAGACGGTTTATATTAACTAACTAGTAGTCATATAATTAAAATGTTGGTTTCTTTGTTCTTTGCACACTTGTGTCATTGACACCAGTGGCGTAAAATATGTACATCATTTTTTAAGAATTTACAAGTGCCTAACAGGACTTTACCGACAGTAATAACTGACAGTTTGATAAAAAGAAATGTTCTTACAAATAAAATTATTATGAGATAAATATGTATAAATTGAAATTGTTTTTTTTTTAATGTAAGACATTAAACTACGTAAAAGATTAATAATTGTCCTTTTATGGATATTCTCCGGTGAGATTAATTTTTTCACACGCCAAAACTATAATATTGAAAAATCTTGCTCATACATCCTGCTCCAAATTCGTTGATATCCAATTTCCTGCAATGTACCATTTCGGGTTTGACAACACCATGAGTTTCGCGAGCATAATACCATCTTCTGCCATAATTCACATTAATCTTCCATCCCTCAATGGCACAAAGTTTTTTAAGTAAAGATTCGCTCATTTCGATAGTGTGAATGGAATGATTGTTTTTTGTTATGTTGGTGAATAGACCATTAGTGTTTAAGGGAGTGAAACATCGGATCGAAGTAAGATCAAGGTATTGTAAATTCGGCATGGCGATTAAAAGATCATTGATAAGATTAATATTTGAAATTTGAGCCCTTGAAATTCCAAGATTTTGTAAAGATGAGCAATTTTCTTTAATTGCCGATAAAATCATTGGAGTTATTTGAGAAGATCCAATGTCTAATGTCAAAAAATTTTTAGCACTAGGTGAACGAAGTATAGTAATTAAATCGCATTCTTGAATTGCAGTGGCTATATCCCTTTCACCATAAAGGTTAAGAGTTTTTAATTTAGAACATCTGAAGACAAAAGAAGCGATAGCGGTGGAGGAAATATTTTTACACTTTGCCAATAATAAATGGGATAATGTTGATGGAGCGTTTGTTCCTTCGACCAAAAAAGTTAAAGTTAAATCGCCTACAGAACAACCACCCAAGTCAAGGTGAGTAAGATTTGGAGCATGAGCTAGTAGAGGGATGATGATTGAAGATTCTGAAATTACGGGGCATTCATGAAGAGAAAGTCGTTGTAAGTGAGATAATAAAGGTTTATGAACCATATTAAAAGAGATTAATTCCTCATTATCGTTATCGAAATGGTGATCTATTTTAACGCGACCTATTAGAGAAGTGAACTCATCCAAAGCATTGCCGAATTGTTTACTAGAACATCCACAGAAATCAACAGTAATAATATTTTTACATTCTAGGAAAAGAACCTTTAAAACGTCGAGGGTAATTACGGATTCTAAAGTTTCAGAAACGGAGAAAGCTTTTAAGGAAGGAAAAGATCTTAGAATATGAATTAAAATTTCAGGAGTGATAACAGTTTGGATGGAAGAGGAACTCTTTCGTAGTCCACAAGTGGAAAAACCAGAAAGGTCCAAATGACGAACCATTTTGGAACAACGTTTACTAATATCAGTCGTGGAATTTGCAAAAAGAGTAAAAGTATAAGGAGAAGTGAAAGCGACAGTATGATATAATATTGGAGTAACAAGAAGGTTAAAAGTATGATTAACCAAAGCGCAAGAAGCAAGAGTATTTTTATCGTTTCTTAATAAACCAAGAATGATACGAATAATTTCGGGAGGAATATAAGGGACAGTAGAATTTTGTTTCACCGAAACAACTTGTGAACGAGTGAAAGGATGAACTAATAAATGAGGTAAAATTAAGGTTTGCATTTTTAAGAGAATTATATAAAAGTAGATATTTAGTCTTCAGAATTATTAAAAAATAGAATTATTTTTATTATTAATTAAATTAAAAGTGGCCAAAGTGTTTTGAAGGTTAGAGTAAATTGAAAGTAAATTGAAAGTAAATTGAAAGTAAATTGAAAGTAAAGTAAATTGAAATTGAAAGTAAATTGAAAGTAGAGGGGAAAAGAATTCATCATCCTTATATATGTTTTACGTTTTAACGAAAAAAATATAGCATGAATTCAGGAAAGCCATAATATTACTAAACTAGGAAAAACACTGTGTATGTACGTATTTGATGTATTGTTATGTAATATAAATAAAAATATTCGGCAAATATAAATGAGGCTAAATAATTATAATTGTGTGGCGATATACAATAATATGGCTATGACGTATATTATATACGTATATATATACGTATATTATATACGTATATGCGTATATATAATTATATAATAACAATATATATAATACATAATAATATATTAATAATATATATAATACATAATAATATATTAATAATATATAATAATATATAATATTTATATACGTAGTATAACATGACTATAATATGAAAATTGTTCTTCCGTATAAGTCATGTGCATTTAATTAGGTAATTTACATTTGAGATCGCCGAATTAGATCACCACAACGCTTTATACGTATTACATGTATTAGTGAATATATGTAATATATGTACACCATAATATAAAATTTAGTAAATATAAAATTGAAAAATCATTAGTAAATTCAAAATTTGAATAAATATAAAATTGAAATACTTTTAGTAATCACGTATTATTATATGTATTTTATAATCGTAATTCTTTTAGATCATTTTGAAATAAGAATAAAAATTGTTTAGAAAGAAAATAAATAATAAATAATAAATTGGGGCTGTTTTTCCTGTCCTGTGATTTAAACACGCTTTCTTCACAATAGAATATTCACAATGGAATACCTTTATCTTTTTTATCTGTTTTATTTCGTGTCTTTTATTTTACTCCTCTTTTTTTTTTTTCTTTTTTTTTTAATTAAAAATTCAAATTTTTTTATTATTAATTATTATTAATTATTATTATTTGTATTTATGTATATATGATTTCAGTCATCCAAGGACAAAAAGAAACAATAAAGCCAATAATCGTTTTATGGATACTGTATTAAAACATCATATGATTGTCTACATAACAAAGTATTGTCTATGAATCATTTTATTTGTGAATGAACTATTATCTTATCAGATTGATTTTTTTATCCAATAAGGGGTTGTCCCAAAATCATGCACGATTAGATAAAAGATATAGAATTGTTTTGTCGTACATTTCATTCCCACATTAAAGATTATCTAACATAATTCCATTTAAACATTAGCTCATTAATCAATTGCATCACTGAAACAAATATTTAAACCTAAAAAAAAATAACAATAAAATAAAATAAAATAAAATAAATAATCATTCTCAGCTACAATAGTATTAGTATGAATAACGGATGTGTCCGATTTAAGACATTGCCAAATTCCCGAAAGAATTCCATTTAAAAATGAATAAGAACGATTCACATTAAAATGAATACATTAATATATTAAAAATGAATAAGAATGATTCATATGAGCTTTGTCAAATAATATTAGCAGCATCTCATGACTGTGTAATTAATGTTTGAAAAATTTGAACAACGAATCACACAAACGAAATCCTGTTTTTCTCACGATCCTGGCTATTTTTCATTTTCGTTTTCTTTTATTTATTTGTGGATCATTGAGATTTGTCCAACTTCGATCGCTTAAATCTTTGGTGGCAAAAAAATGGCTTGGCGTGGGATCAATTTATTTGTGGAATGTGGAATTCTGGAATTAGCGAATTAAAAAAGTTTGGTATTGATATTTATCATGCGATTAACTGGTGCAGCATGCCAGTACGCCAATGACGTTTACTTCATGTACCTTATATACCTTATGTATCTAATGTATGCAATTCCTTATTTGTATCAAATCGGAGTGTTTTTTATTAATTAATAATGCATCAAAATCAAGATCATCTGATAATTTTAATGATGATTTAGGAAATGAAGCACCGAAATACATTATACACTTCAGCCTTTGTAGAACATCCGTACGTGGTTGAAAAATATTTTGCATTATTTTGATTATTTTGATTATTTTGATTATTTTGATTATTTTGATTATTTTGATTATTTTGATTATTGGATTTTGTATTATGCAAACTACTTGTCATACTACTTGTCATACTACTTGCCTTCTTTCCGATTCTGATAACTTTAAATACTTTTAGAATTAGAATTTTTAATAATATGCATCTCATAATTTTTGTAACTTCCGTAAGAAACCTGAAAAATATTTTTTTTTGGTACATATTATTTCAATGTATTGTTTATGTATCTGGTAAAATCCAGTATATTACATGTTTGTGGTATAGAATGCTGCGGAAACCAATCGTCATTGACGTATTTTTATGTGTAATAAACACTGAATAATGAATTATTGTAGATTGTTCAATGTAGATATTGTCGATTACCTAAAATTATCCTTATTTTAATAATTTATTCAATATATTTGTATTACGAATTGCATTCTCTATTTCTTTATTTGACCATTTACTAAATTAAGAAATTATAAGTGTGGGGTTCGAATATTATTTTAAATCCTTTTTTTTATTACTGTCTTCTTGTGTGACGAGGGAAGCCTATAGGCTTTTCCCAATTATACTTTATTTATACTTTATATATTTATACTTTATTTATACTTTATATATTTATACTTTATTT